ATAACATGAATATAACTACAAGAAACTAATTTAGCTAATGAAACCAAAGCTAAAGCAAGAAATTGAAAAATCGCTCAAAAGCCTCCGCGGGCCCACGTCTCGGAATCGGGTATAGTCACAAAATATGAACACTCATTCACTCGCGAGTCTAATCATACCAAATTTACTCAAATCCGATACCAAAATCTTGATCAAAACCCCAAAATTTGGCCTAAGAGCTTTTCTCAAATATTCCCCAATTTTCCAACTCAAAAACCTAAGTAAATGAGGAAATTAACAATGGATTAATGGAATACAACCAAAAACGAGTTAGGAATCATTATCCAATAACTCCTTCTGAAAATCCTTCAAAGAATCGCCAAAATCCGAGCTCTCAAGTCCAAAAATGAAGAATGAGTTCAAACCCTCGATTTTGCCCTTTTTCTGACAGTTAAACCGCATCTGCGGTCAATTTACCTGCTTCTGCGGCATCGCATTTGCGGCTAAAACTCCGCACCTGTGGCAATCACTCACTCTAGCTTCCTCTTCTTCGACCACTGACCGCATCTGCGCATGTCGCATGTGCTGAAATTATACCGCACATGCGGACCCAAGCTCGTACTTGCGCCCTACTCTCCGCTTCTGCGTCCCTCGCATGTGCGGGAAAATCTTCGCACTTGCGGCCTCAGCTCCGCTTACCTCAAGTCGCTTCTGTGATCCATGACCCGCTTATGTGGGCTCGCACCTGCGGTGACCACTTCGCAGGTGCGATTACACCAGCACCAGAAATCTTCAGCAATTACATAAGTCCAAATTTCAACCTGTTAAGCATCCGAAACGCACCCGAGGCCACCGGGACCTCAACCAAAAATACCATACAGTCCTAAAATACCATAAGAACTTAGTCGAGCCCTCAAATCACATCAAACAACCTAAAAACACAAATCACCCTCCAATCCAAACTTAATAAACTTGAAACTTCAAATTTCTACGACTGATGCCGAAACCTATCAAATCACGTCCGAATGACCTCAGATTTTGCACACAAGTCATATTCCACACTTCAGACCTACTCCAACTTCCGTAATCGGAATCCGACCCCGATATCAAAAATTCCACTACCGGTCCAAATCTCCAAAAACTCGACTTTCGCCATTTCAAGCCTGAATGAGTTACGGACCTCCAAAACACAATTCGGACATGCCCCTAAGCCCAAAATCACCCAATGGAGCTAACGGAATCGATGAAACTCCATTCCGGAGTCGTCTTCACACACTACCGACTACGGGCCAAATCCTAAGGCTTAAACCTCTATTTAGGGACTAAGTGTCCCAAACACTTCCAAAAACCAAAATTAACCCTCCCGGCAAGTCACAATAGCAGAAATATGGGGAAAGCAGTTAATAGGGGATCGATGCTCTAACTTTCAAAACGACCTGCCGTGTCATTACATGCGCTAACGTGCGCCCTTGTTCTTGCAGAATCGGCAGCGGAGGAGGAGGATGTGACAGCGAGCCGGTGTTCTGTAGATCAAAATCCGTCGGAATTTCATTCATTAAATCGTGAAATAGTAATACCAGCGACCGGAGAAACCCGCCGGCGGGTGAGAAGAGTACTAAAACAGCGTTGTTTTGGTGAATTTTTAAGTCTAGAAGAGAATTGTCGCAGAGGAAAGAGAACGATTAGACTGAAAGCAAAATCTGCTCAAAACAATTACTACAATACTACAAGGATTTAGGAGTTATCGAGGATGATGACGGTGAGATCGAAATCGGTGAATGTAGATATGACATCAGTCTCTGGTGGAAATGATTTTATGTCGCCGGGGAAGTTGAAAGGATTGGTTTAAGAGCAAGGGTCTTATTACTGAGGCCGGTAAATATTTTCATTAAAAGGATCTAAGAAAAAGGATACATAAGGTACATATACAAAAAGTTTATTTTTAAATTTATAGTTCTATATATTGTATTTTTTTAGCGAAGAATATTTGAACCATTTAGTGAAATATAATGGGTTTACCATTATAAAATATAATGTTCACACTTTTCACTAAGACTAGTCTTAGGCCCCGTTTGGCCATGAGTTTTGCCAAAATAAATTTGGGGTTTATTTTCAAAACTCATGTTTGGCCATAAATTTTGCCCATATTTTGGCCAAATCCCAAATCCCAAATTCCAAATCCCAAAATCAGCTCAAAATCAGCTATTGAGCTGATTTTGGGCCAAAATCTCAAAACTTGGGAATTATATACATGTTTTTCCAAAATAAAGTTGGAAAATATATTTTAAAAACGTATGTCCAAACACATTTTCATCTTCAAACCAAACTTCACCAAAATCAGAATTTTCAAAATAAATTTGGGATCTATGGCCAAACGCTAGCTTAGTATACGCGCGATGCGCGTGTACCTTGTACGATGCATATAAAATTATAAAAATATAAGCCCTTAAAAATAAAAAATTTCAAATATTAGCTCTTGAAAATAACAAATATTGAGCCTATTTAGTAAAAAAAAAAAAAAAGTAGAGGCTAAGCATGAAACAACCGAGATGATTTTGAAAGTTTAGTGTTCTTTTATATTAGATTCGTATCAAAGTAATCGTCTAAATACCATGTATTCTAGACAAGTCAACTACATAAAGAAATAAATTAGCGATGAAAAAATGATGTAGTTAAATAATAAAAAATAATCGATAGTGACAGATCAATAAAAAAAAGTGACCAGCTACAACATGAATTTCGTAACTAATTCCTATTTTTAAAGTTAAATTATGCAATAAAATTTCTTAGTAATAATATTAGTTTTTTAACACAAATTTTATTGAGGTACTTTAGGTATTTTTATAAATTAAATTACGCTAATTAATTTTTATCACAAATTAATTATTATTTTTTTCCAAAAATAATTATTCTTCCCTAAAACCTAATGTCGTAGAAAATTTTGAGAAATAAACGAATTTAACAACCATGCTTCTGAAAAAAATACTTTTCATTTAAATTTTAAAAACAATAAATAAATCATATGAAAGGAAAATAAAGAGGCAAAATTAGTCTTTATGATTAAACAAGGACAAAGAATTGAAATTTTACACAAAATCGTGAAGTTTCCTTGTTGGAAACTAATTAACGAAAAAAATTTCCTCCTACGTTTTTTGGATACTTTCATTGTCTTAATATTTTGTATCCTTATTAGGAAAAGATATAAAATACTAAATTACTTAGAAAAAAACTTAGTTGATTTAGAACTCCTAAATATTTGGAAAGCTTTTTGATTTTACACTTTTATCCGATGTAAAATATA